CTTTGGTAACCATAAGTTTGTTTTCTATGTCTGTGAATCTGTTTCTGTTTTGTAAATAAGTTCATTTGAATTTTTTAGATTCCACAGCTAAGTGATATCATATGATATTTGTCTTTCCCTGTCTGACTTACTTTAGTATGATAATCTCTAGGTCCATGTGGCAAATGGCATTATTTCATCCTTTTTTATGGATGAGTAATATTCCATTATGTATATATACCACATGTTCTTTATCCATTCACCTGTTGATGGACATTTAGGTTGCTTCCATGTCTTCGCTATTGTAAATAGTGCTGCTATCAACACTGGAATGCATTTATCTTTTCGAATTAGTTTTCTCCAGCTATACGCCTGGGAGTGGGATTGCTGGATCATATGGTAACTCTATTTTCAGGTTCTTAAGGAACTCCATACTGTTTACCATAGGGGCTGCACCAGTTTACATTCTCACCAACAGTGTAGGAGGGTTCCTTTTTCCCCACACCCTTTCCAGCATTTATTATTTGTAGACTTTTTGATGATGGTCATTCTGACTGGTGTGAGGTGATACCTCATTGTAGTTTTGATTTGCATTTCTGTAATAATTAGCGATGTTGAGCATCTTTTCATGTGCCTGTTAGCCAACCCAATATGTGTCTTCTTTGGAGACGTCTGTTTAGGTCTTCTGCTCATTTTTTGATGGATTGTTCGGTTTTTTTGTTATTGAGTTTTATGAGCTGTTTGTATATCTTGGGAATTAACCCTTGTTGGTCACATCATTTGCAATATTTTCTCCTGTTCCCTAGGTTGTCTTTTTGTTTCCTTTGCTATGCAAAAGCTTGTAAATTTGATTAGGTCCCATTTGTTTGTTTTTGCTTTTATTTCTATTGCCTGTGGGGAGTGACCTAAGAAAACATTGCTACGATTTATGTCAGAGAATTTTTTTTTATTGAAGTATAGTTGATTTACAATGTTGTGTTAATTTCTGCAGTACAGCAAAGTGATTCAGTTATACATATATACATTTTTTATATTCTTTTCCATATGGTTTATCACAGGATATTGAATATAGCTCCGTGTGCTATACAGTAGGACCTTCTTGTTTATCCATTCTATATATAATAGTTTGCATCTGCTAACCCCAAACTCCCAATCCATCCCTCCCCCACCCCCTCCCCCTTGGCAACCACCAGTCTGTTCTTTGTTAATCTATTTCTGTTTTGTAAATAAGTCCATTTGTATCATTTTAGATTCCACATCTAAGTGATATCATATTCCATTTGTATCATTTTAGATTCCACATCTAAGTGATATCATATTACTTGTCTGTCTCTGTCTGATTTACTTCACTTAGTATGATAATCTCTGTCCATCCATGTTGCTGAAAATGGAATTATTTCATTCTTTTTATGATTAATATTCCAGTGTTGTGTATATGTGTGTGTATATATATATATGTGTGTGTGTATATATACACCACATCTTTATCCATTCATCTGCCTTTGGACATTGGTTGCTTCCATGTCTTGGCTATTGTGAATAGTGCTGCTATAAACACTGGGGTACATGTATCTTTTCAAGTTACAGTTTTCATCTTTTCCAGGTATATGACCAGGAGTGGGATTGCTGTGTCATATTGCCAACTCTATTTTTAGATTTTAGTTTTTGAGGAACCTCCATACTGTCTTCCATAATGGCTGTACCCATTTACATTCTCACCAACAGTATAGGAGTGTTCCCTTTTCTCCACACCCTCTCCAGCATTTGTTATTTGTAGACTTTTTAATGATTGATAGCCATTCTAACCAGCATGTGATGATACCTCACTGTAGTTTTAATTTGCATTTCTCTAGTAATTAGCCATGTTGAGCAACTTTTTATGTGCCTGTTGGCCGTCTATGTGTCTTCTTTGGAGATATGTCTGTCTATTTAGGTCTCCTGCTCATTTTCTGATTGGGTCTTTTTTTTTTTATATTGAGCTGCATAATTGTATATTTTGGAGATTAATCCCTTGTCGGTTGCATCATATGCAAATATATTCTCCCATTCCATAGGTTGTCTTTTCATTTTGTTTCCTTTGCTGTGCAAAAGCTTGTAAGTTTGACTGGGTCCCATTTGTTTATTTTTGCTTTTATTTATATTGCTTTGGGAGACTGACCTAAGAAAACATCGCTACAATTTATGTCAGAGAATGTTTTGCGTGTGTTCTCTTCTAGGAGTTTTACAGATCCAGTCTTAAATATTTAGGTCTTTGATCCGTTTGGGGTTTATTTTTGTGTATGGTGTTTGTTAGAGAGTGTTCTAATTTCTTTTTTTTTTTACATGTAGCTGTCCAGTTTACCCAGCACCACTTATTGAAGAGACTGTCTTTTCTCCATTGTATATTCTTGCCTTCTTGTTGTAGATTAATTTTGACCATAAGTGCATGGGTTAATTTCTGGGTTTTCTGTCCTGTTCCATTGATCCATATGTCTGTTTTTGTGCCAGCACCATTACTGTTTTTATTACTGTAACTTTGTAGTATTGTCTGAGAGGGTTATACCTCCAACTTTTTTCTTTTTCCTCAGGATTGCTTTGGCAATTCTGGGTCTTCTGTGGTTCCATATAAATTTCAGAGTTATTTGTTCAAGTTCTGTGGAAAATGTCATGGGTAATTTGATAGGGATCACATTAAATCTGTAGATTGCTTTGGATAGTATGGTCATTTAAACAATATGAATTATTCCAATCCAAGAGCATGGGTTATCTTTCCATTTCTTTGCCTCATCTTCAGTTTCCTTTATCAGTGTTTTATAGTTCTCAGCATATGTCTCTTCTCCTTGGTCAGGTTTATTCCTAAGTATTTTTTTATGCAATTTTAAAGGGGATTTTTCTTTTTACTTTCCCTTTTTGATATTTCATTGCTAGTGTAAAGAAATGCAACAGATTTCTGTATATTAATTTTGTATCCTGCAACTTTACCAAATTCATTGATGAGCTCTAGTAGTTTTCTGGTGGTGCCTTTAGAATTTTCTCTGTATAGTATCATGTCATCTGCATATAATGACAATTTTTCCTCTTCCCTTCCAATCTGGATACATTTTATTTCTTTTTCCTTGATTGCTGTGGCTGATTTCTATTAATTTTATAATGTTGTTTTTACAACAGAAAACATTTTAATAATTTGATATCGACCACGAAAGTTATAATATACTCACAAATCTACACCTTGTGGCATTGACTATATGGCTAATTGAAGTGATCTAAATAATTAATTATGCTTATTTAGTACTAAAGAAATCTCAAAGTGCACACTCTGCTAAATCATATGTTTATTTAACACTTATGTAGCTTTTACCATGTAAGACAGACAGACACTGTTCTAAACACTGTATTCATTGAATACCCTATGAGGAAGGTACTGTTACAGAGGACTTTAAGAAACTCAATCCAGGTCACATTGGTCTATGTGGCAGAGCGGAAATTTGAACTCAGACAGCCTGGCTACGTGGTCCAGCTCCTCAATGCTATGCTGCCTTTCAGTTAGCCAATCAAAACACGCTTAGTGGACATAAGTGACGATTGGCACTGTGAGGGATGCCAGGAAACAAAGGATACAATCCTTAATTTGAAGAAGATGACCATTCTCTAGACTTTAGCCATAGTCCCCAAATTCTGCTCTCTCAACCTCAGATAAATGTCATCCATGTCACAGCTAAATGCTAGTCACAGAGAAACACCTCCTCTCACCCATAATAACAAAAGTTCTGAATGAAAATCTGCAGCCTATTTGCTTGGCTCTCTATGGCAATGTCAGTGTTTTCAAAGTATGTGCTGAGAAGTCTTAGAATTGTGTGAAGTTGCCTCATGTTCTGCAAATATTTTACTCAAGTTTCTCTCTATACATATATTTGTATATACACACTACACCTTCACACACTACATGTATATGTAACCAATGTTACAAATAAGTTTTTAAACTAATACTACAAACTAAAATTACACACTGAAATACATTTTATTGTATACTTTAATACATAGGAAACTCACAATTCATTACAATATGCTTTTGGATTGTCATTGTGCATATCTCAGATGAAAGAGTCTCCCTCTATCTCTAATTGAAGAGTATTCTGAGATTGTAAGACAAATTCTTTCAAAGCCAAAAAAACTGTTACCATTTGGAAGGTGATATGATGGTTAAGAAGAATGGCACGTCTAGATACCATTTCGAGCACAGGTATTTACCACATGAATTTGGGCAAGTTTTAAACCTTCCTTACCTTAATTTCCTCATCTGTCAAATGGGACAGTACATACCTCATAGAGTTGTAAGAAATAATATACCTAGAAAAGTAACTCAGGCAATAAGTACTCAATAAGTATTAGATACTACTATACATACAATTTCTAGTGCAAAGATACAATATAATTTCTAGTGCAAATACTTATCTATAAAATCAGTCTTGCCTTGTTATCATGCAACCAAATATGGAATAACCTTAAGTTCTAACTAATGCTGATATACACCTGGAAATCCCATTTTTCAAGTTTTTGTGTTCATTCAACAGTTGAATTATTGTTATTTTTACAAGTATGCAAATATAAACTAATAAAGTTATACTAATTACATACTACTACAATTTTCAAATTTGCTGTTTAAAATTTTGTTAGAAAAAAAATGTTCTGCCTTAAAAAAATAATATATTGCATCATAGTGAAATTTGTTTTTATGTTACCTTATTCCAAGGGGAAAATAATTACCTCTTCCAAATATATGTATTTCTTTTCATGGCTACCCTTCATTTAAAGCTTGCTTTTGAATAATACATGTTGAAATCAAATTATAATGAAATATTAGCCCCTTATCTGGTAGAGTGTTACACTGTGGTGGACGATTCTGCTTATCACCAAAGAACAGTCAGTTAATGTCTCCTGTATTTCTTCCAAGATTGATTCTTTTCATGACAATAAGACTATTAGAATGTGCAAAGATATTTTAAATAAATGATTGTGTTTGTGTTTTCTTTCTTTTCTTGCAGTCATTCCCAACACAGCACTACAACCCGCCAGCCTTCAGTGACTCTCCAACGGGCCATCTCCCTGGAAGGGTAAGATGATAAGAATAATATGGAGCCTTCTCCTAAACCAAACCGAGCACCCTTGTCACTTTGAGCATAAATTCTTTCCTTCCTTCCTTCCTCCCTCCCCACATTACCCCTTTTTTTTCTTTCTGTTAGCAAATCTCTATGAAGCTTATGTTATATATATGCCAAGCACCGTGCGAGGTACTACACTGAACAAGTCAAATCAGATCTTTTCCTTCAGAGGACTTATTATCTATTGAGAGTGACAGAAATATAAACACACACCTGCACATAACAGTGTAAGCGTCACACAGGAAATACGTCTGAGGGATTAATGAAGGATCCAGAAAGGATATCTGACCGAGAATGGGTAACAAAGAGGGAGGGGGGAACAGGTCAGGATGGTTTCAGAGAAGATATAACTCTCAAGCTGAGAACTGAAGCATCTGTGAATATTTCCCTGACTGACAGATATTGGAAGGAAGGGTACTCCCTGCAGGAGAAAGAGCACATGCAAAAACATGGACATCTAAGCAGATTTCAGATGTCAAAAGGCCACTGAGTGATTTCGCGCAAGGTGTGCAAGGCAGGAAATGAGAATGGTGATGTTGGCTGGCCAGGCTTACGTGTAGAGGACTTAGTATTTCATATTTCTAAATTCCCCAATCAGATAGAAGCTGAAGGGGCTGAGAAGAAGGAGTTAATATTTCCATCCACTTGCTTTATAATCGCAACTGATTTAATTGACAACACTTAATTGGTTACTGTATAAAAATTAAATCACTATTTTTCCAATATCTGTTACCAACTATGCTTTGTTCAACCCTATTTCTCAATGACAAGTAGACTTCCTTAATGGCATTTCAGTTAAAATCTCTATTATTTAGTCTATTTTAAAATCTTGTGTTTTCAGTCAAACCTCTGTCTCTCTTTCCAACATAATTAAGACTCGGGGTCCACCAAAGTGCTCTGCAGTTGATAGAGGAGTGATCTGCTCTCTCTCTCATACCACCACCCTCTTGATCTTCCTTTCTCTTAGATTTCTTCTCTGGTAGAAATGAAGTTGTTTAAAAAAAAAAATGGGAAATGGCATTCCTCACATTCTCCTGTGGCAGTCCTCCTTTCTGTTGGCTATCACGGGTGATGTAGCCTGGATGGGTAGAGAACCAAATACGCACCAATGCTAAGAAACTCAACTCCCCCAGCACGTGGTCCCCTGGGAGCATCAGCGATCTTTTCTACAAAACCCCCTGGCAGTAGCACACTGTAGTCCTCTGATGCACTCACCCACTTTGCCCCAGCTGCGTCAGTCCCTCCTCACAAGCACGTAGTCACCCTTTCTCATGTGTCCTCAGCAGCTTCAAATGTGAGGCTTGCAGACATGAGCAGCATGCATCTTTCCTACCCCTCAGGTGGAACTTACTAGGGCTAGTCCTTGCCTCCTTTCTTTCTCCCTGCCTGACATTCTCATCTTCTCTCCCCAGGGCAAGTCAGCAAACTCCATGACCTAGTGGACATCCACTTGGGAGGGAGATGTTAGCCTTTCCTTCCTGGAACAGCATAAATCTTATAAACACTTCATGGGGTGCCCTTTCTTGCCTTTAGCGAAGGAAATCCACTGCATGTCCGCAAACCCATGGGAACGTGAGTGAAAGGAATGTGACCTCTGCATGAACACTGCCCTCCCCTCAAAAGGATACCTCCTTCTCTTCCTAGTCCTACTCTTCTGTTTTTGGCAGTAAAGAACATCAAACAATTTTAGCTCCTCTATTAAAAAAGAAAACAAAAACTGAGATAGGAGTGGGGGAGGAGTCAAGATGGCAGAATAGGAGGACATGGAGGTCACCTCTCCCCATAAGTACATCAAGAATGGAACAATTCTGACAGAGCACTTGCTGAACACTAGCAGAGGACCTCGGACACCTAAAAGTACGAGAACAATCCCCATGCAACTGGGTAGGACAAAAGAAATTTTAAAAAGACAAGAGGAAACAGGACACGACCTGCACCCCTTGGGGGGAACTGAAAGAGGAGAGGTTCCCACACCCAGGGAAGCCCCCTCGCTAGTAGGGAGACCAGCTGGGGAGCTTCAGGGGCTCAGAGGATAGCACAGCGACCAGCCTGTGGCAGGCAGGACAGAGTAAGACCTACATGAATGTTTGGTGCCGCAGCCCGGCACGTCCCAGCCTGAGACATGTGTCTGCTGGTGCGGACAGAGGCTGGGTGCTAGAACCTGGGGTTTGGAGAGCAGACCCAGGGAGGGGACTGCTGTTAGCTGCAAAGAGAGAGCCTGAAGGTATGGGAGTACAGAGCTCTACAAGCGGGAATGTTTGTGGAAGAAGCCCTGGCCGCCATTGCAGCCCCCTTCCCCACGTGCCAGCCCCTGCCTCCCTGGGCACTAGAAGGGGCTCCTGCCTGAGCAGGCTTGCAGGCCTCACCCTCCTTGGCCACGGCCTGCAAGAGCAGGCTCACATGCCCCACCCACTGCGGCTGCCTCCTTCACCCCTGCCCACCCCAGCAGGCTGGCATTTGCCCCACCTGTTGCTGCCTCTGACCCCACCCACCTAGGCAGGCTCTGGGGCAGCCTCCGGAACAGACACTGGTGGAAGGCCCACATGCAGAGGTGGGGCTGAAACCACAGCTGAGCCTCATGGGCCATGCAACTAAGGAAGAAGAGCGGAAATCTCTCCTCACAGCTGTGGGAACTGCGGATTTACACCCCAGCTGCCAGCTTTGTAAACTCAGCACCTGCAGAATATCCAAATGAGTGAGTGCTCCCCCAGCTGAGATGGGTCTAGCTTTAGCACTGTGGGTTTGTGGGCACATACACATGGGGACTAGACCGGGCCAGAATCTGAGCTGCCTCCATAGCTCCCACAGCAGGTCCTGGTGCACAATTACTGCAGTCCTGGGACCTGACTGCAGTGGATCTGTGCTGGTAGTCTGGTGAAAGCAACGCCTGAAAGACACCAGGGCCAATTGCCGGCATACCCGTTGTTAAGGTGGGTCTGAGAGCAGTTCCAGCAATAGTATAATTTATGAGCCAGCACAACAGGTGAAAAGTGATGCAACAGAGCACACTCACAGTTGAACAGCTCTGGAGGAGGAAAACCCAGTGGTTTCTCTCCCAGAGAGAGTGCTCCAATCCTGCCTATGTCACACTGCAGGTCAGAAACACAGCTCAGAAACAGATCTCGGGGCCTCTACTCCAACTGGAGAGCAGACCCTGCCCCTGACAGGGCAGTGACAACCTCAGAGCAAGGGGAGGCCCCCATTCAATATCCAGTGCAGGCTCAGGTCACCACAACATCAGTCACTCCTCTTACCAAGGGGATAATGGCCAGCATACACTGAGGAAAGAGGTGGCAGACAAGCATATTAAAAACAGCTCTAGCACCAAAAAATATTAAACCCACTTAGGCTACACAGGGACGTTCCCACATAAAAATAGCCCTACAAGACAGTCTGAGGGTCAGGCATCGGGAGAAAGAACCGCCCCCCCCAGAGCATTTGGCTTTGAAGGCCAGTGGGTCCTGAGTGCAGGAGCTCCACAGGACTGGGAGAAACAGAGACTCCACTCTTGGAGGGCGCACACAAGGTCTCACATGCACTGGGACCCAGCACAAAGCAATACCTCCATAGGAACCAGGGCTAGACCTAACTAGGGGTCTTGGAGGGTCTCCTGAGGAGGCAAAGGTCAGCGGTAGCTCACTCTGGGGGCAAGGAAACTGGTGGCAGAGGCCCCAGGGAACACTGATCAGCATGATCTCTCCCAGAGGTCCCATTTTTGGCACCAAGACCTGGCCCCACCCAAAAGCCTACAAGTTCCAGAGCTGGAATGCCTCAGGCCAAACAACCAGCAAAACAGGAATACAGCTCCACCCACCAGCAGACAGGCTGCCTAAAGTCATACTGAGCTCACAGCTACCTCAAAACGCACCCCTTGACACGGCCCTGCCCACCAGAGAGACAAGACCCAGCTCCACCCACCAGACAGCAGGCACCAGTCCCTTCCACCAGGAAGCCTGCACAAACCCCAGGACCAACCTCACCCACAGGGGGCAGACAACAGAACTAAGAGAAACTATGATCCTGCAGCCTGTGGAAAGGAGACCACAAACACAGAAAGGTAGACAAAAGGAGATGACAGAGAAATATGTTGCAAATGAAGGAACAAGATAAAAACTCACAAGAACAACTAAATCAAGAGGAGATAGGCAATCTACCTGAAGAATAATTCAGAGTAATGATAGTAAAGATGATCCAAAAGTTCAGAAAAAGAATGGAGGCACAGACTGAGAAGATACAAAAAAAATGTTTAACAAGGAGCTAGAAGATTTAAAGAACAAACAGAGATGAACAACACATTAACTGGAAGGAATCAATAGCAGAATAACTGAGGCAGAAGTGAGCTAGAAGACAGAGTGGTGGAAATCACTGCCACAGAACAAAATAAAGAACAAAAAATGAAAAGAAATGAGGACAGTCTCAGAGACATCTGGGACAACATTAAACGCACCAACATTCACATTACAGGTGTCAACAAAGGAGAAGAGAAAGAGAAAGGGCCTGAGAAAATATTTGAAGATATTATAGCCAAAAACTTCCCTAATATGAGAAAGGAAACACTCAAGTCCAGGGAGTGCAGAGAGTCCCATACAGGATGAACCCAAGGAGGAACACAGACATATATTAATCAAACTGGAAAAAATTAAAGAGAAAGAAAAAATATTAAAGACAACAAGGGAAAAGCAACAAATAACATACAAGGGAATCTCCATAAAGTTTTCAGCAGAAACTCTGCAGGCCAGAAGGGAGCGGTAAAATATATTTAAAGTGATGAAATGGAAAAAGCTACAACCAAGAATACTCTACCCAGCAAGGCTTTAATTCACATTTGACAGAGAAATCAAAAGCTTTACAGACAAGCAAAGGCTAAGAGAATTCACCACCAAACCACGTTTACAACAAATGCTAAAGGAACTTCTTTAGGTGGAAAGAGACGAGCAACTTAATACAACCTT